AAAATCTAAATATTTTATTCTTTATTGTGTTTCTATTTTCTCGATAGAAACCTAACGATAAATAATACCTATCCAATTGTTATTGCGGTTCATTGGGCAAATACACTCGATTCTATATTCAGTTGACTAAAAAATAGATCAGATAACAGTAATATTGAATCCATTGTAAATAACATCTACCTACCTATATTTATAAATTATGTATTAGCACGTTTTCTATATAATATACATTTAAAACAAACTAATCAATTCATACCTACTTTATAGTGCAATCTTTTACAATTATTTTTTTACATAGGAAGTTGTGCAAGATGAAGTGTAGGCGCCTATAAAACCCGACGAATAATTTATTAAAAAGAAAAATCTTCATGAATATCCAAGCTCTCGGCCGAATATAACTCGGCTCGTAAAATATAAAGGGAAAATAAAAAAGCGAGGAGTAAGGGAGTTAATAGAGTGGCCCATAAAGTTTATTGGATGATACGAGTCGTAAGCCCGGGAAAATGCATTAGATTGCCTCCATTTGAATTGGCAACGGCGCCATTTTATTGCGAGTTCCACTTTATATTTAAATTCGGGCGATCCAATATTCTGGCAATTTCATTTCTGGCTCTCTCGGAATAGAAGTGGCTTTCGCTTATGAGGGAGTAACGGCTCGATGCAGGGGCGTTGTGCGGCTAATTGCGCGCCGAAAAATCGCGAAAATCGCCGCGGTTTCCGGCGATTCCGAATTAATTTCTCGCCAACGCTACGCTAATTTACATTGCAATTAAATGCAGTTAGGACTGGAGGAATTGGCGGATGCGCCACTGTGCAGGAAAGAAGCGGAATTGCTCCGGCGAAATGGAAATGTATTCTCGCAACCGTTTTCGCGGGGTATAAGTAGTTTTTTATTCAAACTCCGCCGTTCCGAGTGCGAGAGGTCGAGGTTATTTGAATTTTTGTATTAGCACAAGTGACTGTGTGTATAAATTTAGGAAGGGAAAGCCCCGGTGGAAAGGAGCCATTGTAGGCGCGAAATGGAAACAATAAATTATCGCCGGCTTTTCTTCGCTCGATTTTCCAGAAAAACTGCGATTTTTAAAGCCTGCCCCTCGCCCGCGATTCCGCCGAATCATTTAGAGAAAGTACGAACGAGTGGTTTCGAAAAGTATTGCTTATACTAAAAATTGATGCAATTCATCACGATCTCAATAGTACCGTAGATATGGAAACGTTGAAAAATGACACGCCGGCTTTTCTATGAGAGTATCTGCCTCGAGAAAAAAAAAACGTAAAACTCCTTTCACGCGACGACGAATATATTTGTTAGTCGACACGTGCGATATCTACCCTCGAACAGAATACGGGGCATTTAGTAACTATAGGTATAGCGCGAAGGGCGCCAGAGCGAGAGAGGAAGCCCGGGCGTCTAATCTTAAGTTTCCGGTCGATTAGCGACGCCATATTGGAGTTTGATTTAAGAACACTCATTTGATCCCGACAAAGACGTTCAACTGTTCTATTATCTTTTTGACATGGAGTTTATCACGTCGACCGTAATTTCTTGGGCACCGGTGCGCAAAGAAACGGGATGATTTTTCATTTATCGCAAGTGCGAAATTAAACTCGACGAAAAACTGTATACAAGGCGTTTTAAATACATGCCAAATATCCTATAAATAACCACAATGTTCGATAAAATTATCCCGTAGATCCCACAATTTTTCAATCCCTGTAGAATTGGCTGTAGGCAAGGTAGGTAAGTGAAATTTTCAACAGACATTTCCACATGCCTTATCTTAGCATGCACCAAGTAGAATCTAACACTGCTGGATGCTAATCATAAAAAAATCGGTTACTAAAGGGGTTGATATTTTCTCAATAAATTTAGTTTTCGAACATGGTGTTATTCAATGGGCTGGTTCGATCTCTTGGAGTTGATTGGGGATGATGCTACTAGGTAGACTCCAAGACAAGATATTAGGGTATGTTTACTGAAAATTTCAAGTTTCCAGCTTGCCTGTAGCCAACTTTACAGGACTTCAAAAAAGCGACTCTCTAATCTCAACAAACAGTGAATTAGGGATTATTAAACTTACTAAAAAGCACTCTGTATATAACGAAAACCAATTCAAAAATCATGAATAGTGAGTGATAAATTTAAATAGCTTCATATTGAAAAAAAATCCTGCAACACGCCTTATTTACGATCCCACTTCGGCGCACCAGTTTTCTCTCCTTTCCCTCCATTATTTCCTTTTAATAAACGACGATCGGTTCTCGGAAGTGTATATATAGGAGCTATTATAGCCGTTTTCCTAAAAGGGCCCATCAATAATTGGACTTGCGACGGCTCTAGCACCGATTTCCTTCTCTCAAACGAAATTGTATTAAAATTTAAATGAAGACATTTCCCAATCAGCATCCACCAATAGATTTCCTGAATCTTCGATAGGATCTAGAAGGAGATTGGCAATCGCTTATACGTCACATCCTGCATGCAAATATTATTCGCCTGTTAACACAGTCGTCCCTAAAAATATATATTACATAACCACTATTTTTATTTCACAAAAAAATATCCCAAATCACCAATCGCTCATTTAATTAAATCACCACATAATTCGAATATAATTAAAATATTTTTAACTCGATACAGGGAACTTTGAAGAGATTGGTGTAATAGGCTCCGGAGCCGCCCCTGGTAAGTGGGCATTTACATGCCGGTGCTTAGACGGTGATTTAGTATCCGGGAGGAGGCGAAAGGGATGGAAATTCCTGCTGAACTAAGCTGGAAAACGTTTAAAATGTGTTTATTTGAATTTTCTCGGTCGAGATGCGAAAGGACGCGGCCCACCCCTCGAGCGGCACTCCGAACGAGGACGGATTGAAAGGCGGGGCGGCGGCATTTGAATGTCGAACAGGAAGACGTGCGTAAATTTTAAGGGTGGCCGTAAATGGATGCGAGATAGAGGTTTAATTTCCTTTTTATGCATCTCTTCGTTATTATCTAATAGCGCTTGTAGTCGAATAGTTCGACAAAAGATGATTGGAAGTTCTATCAAACCAAGATCAAAACCAATAAGGCACCATTTTAAGAGAGATATGAATCTATGAGAAACTTATTTATCTGTATCAATTATACAAACAAGTTTCTTTTAAAAAGAGTTGGTGGAATGAATGGGGTATATAGACAAACACCCCGAATGTATCCTCTTAATTACAAGCCGATTTTTTGTGCGGCGGTTTTCGACAGTAATCGAGCATTGAAGTGCCTACTAAGTGGTTTACTGGATGGTAGAGAACATGTGTTAGAGCGCAGCACCTGTATTTACCGACGTTTGTTCCGAAACGCGCAGGAAACACCAGATAATCCCCTGTATAAACAGTACTTCTCGGCCGCAGTTTTTTCCATTCGGCTCGATAAATATTTGAAGCGATCCCGAAACGTTAAGTAGAGGACGAAAAGGTGTGTTTGACGTTCGAGTGGAAAACAAAAAAAAATCAAAATCGGGGAACACCTAGACGCCGGGCGTTGAATAATTTTCTAGTTTTTTTCGGACGTTCTGACCATCGATTATCATACAAAGCGATTCGCGACGTCGTCGAAGGCATAAATAAAATTTCAATACGATCGTTAATGGCCATCAAAAACACATAACACCGATCCCGATGGATTCCTGCACTTTTAAATCATTTTTATGTCCGCATTTTTATGTCGATCCAACAAGCTCAAAAATTCACAACATACGCTATATAATAAAATTAAATCCTCTACCGTTTAATTACCCACGTTAGAATCCAAATAGACAACGCAAGAATCCACGTGCATTATACATATTGGAACCACCTCGGTTATAGCATAAACGCCGAATAAGTCGATGTTTAGCGGTACTAGATCTCCGGATTGTTAATGGCATATTGTGTGCTGAAGTACGAGGTTAACGCGAGCCCATTGGGCGGTACCGCCGCCTCTTCGTTACGGTCTGAGTGACACCGCCACCTCGCACTGTCTTGTTAGTACGACCAGCTCGGCGAATCCACTTTACATTGAATGAAGATATCGGCATAATAAGCCAAATGGACGGAGATATTTATCACTGCGAATTTATTTTATGGTTTTTTTTGCGCGATTTTTATTTGTGCTCCGTCGATTTTTTTATTTTCGTCGACGGGAACACGCCGGTAACTAGAATAGTTTATGGCGGTGTACGGAGGAGTTCCTCGCGAATAGAAGAAAGGAAATTTGTATTTGTTTAACTGGTCGATCCGCGGTTATTTGGACATTGTAGGAGTAGTCCAACAGCGATAAAGATAATATAATATTCAATTTGTTCAAGACAGTTACAGAATGTTTTAGAACTGTCCGGGATTTTCGAGCTTTCGAGTTTCAGGTCTTTTTTAAGAACCTTTAGAAGACTATTTCATTTGAAAAATCGACTTATTTAATAACAGTTTCTAAATACAATTATTTTGTAATGTTTATCGTATACCTATCGCCTTTGTTTAGTCAAATAATTCAATAAAATGAAGAACCGCCGGCCAGTTTTTATCGCATATAGACACTAATTCGTATCGCGTACGAAGCGCCTCCGAACAAATTCGACGAGTCAACAGATTTTTTCCTCAATTATTTTCCCAAATGGAAAGCACGCGTATTGACGCACCGGTCACTTATCACCATTAATCCCGTCATTATGTTGCCGCGCGAGCGCCCGAGCAAACTCTTTCGGGGACGTGCTAATGAGCTCGGAACGAGCCAAATATTGTGTCGTAAGTAGTCGCAGAGTGGGATTCCTATTATTTAAATTACCATTCTTACATTTTCCGGTCACAATGCCGCGCTAATCACCAGCGACTCGAAATTACCAATTACTAAATGACCAATAAGTTTACTCAACTCTTTGTCAATTCATACAGCTCACCTGCAAGAGTGTATTAAAGAGTATTTCAAAATGAACGAAAGCAATAATACAATGACATTATTTTAAAATAAATTACGCAATTAATCGGCTATAAATTTATTTTGGATTCAGCTTAATCGGTTCAATGCTATTGTACTGCATACCTTTTTAAATACTATGTTCAATACATCACATCTTTCAGCTCTACCGATAACCTTACAAAATTACCACACCTCGATTTTTGAAACTTATTTCAACAGATTATCATCATCTTCCTCTTCTTCATCGTCAATCTTATCGCTGACAGTCACTTGCTGGCCCCCTTGCAACGTAACCATCGCCCCCGTATCATCGCCGTCTTTGTATATATCGTACTGGACGTTTTCCATGGGTATCGGCCAAACCAGATCGCTGTCCTCCACAACCGGCACGATTCTTCCGCCGATGTTCATGTAAGTTTTGAGGTCCTGCGTGTAGGGCGAGTCTATCAAATAATCCAGCAACTCTCGCTCGGGCAAAAAGTCCCTGTAGGGGGTCATGATTCCGCCGAGGACAGAGGATCTCTGGGTCATTGTGGACGACGCCGCCTCCACCATGTTGCTCTCCCCTCGAATGAGATCCTGGGATCGTTGTTCTGTGGGAGTGCCGGCTTCCAAAGCCATGGCGCTGTCGCTTATCCCGTCGCCGTACATCTTATAGGCGAGCCGGTTTAGTTTATTAATGCAGTTGAATACTTGAATTGCTGCGTCTCTTGGTGTTTCTTCGGTGGTTTTCTGAGGAGGGTTGACGAGTAATCTAGGAACGCCTGGAATGCCACGAATGTATTAGCGGCGAGATGAGAATATAACTAGTTATTTACCGATAAATGTGGTCCAGTAAATGTTTAATCGAGCGTTAATGTGGTTGAGATCGCCTAGTAACTTGAGGTCTCGTACGTCCTCTAACTCTGGAGAGGAGTATAATAAATGCAGATGCTTGAGTATGCTGCCTTCGTCCGTTTCGATTACGTGTAAAAATTGATTCTTATACTGTATATAAAGACCTGATGACCGGGTTTGAATATTAGTTTGTGGTGAATATATTTGGGGAAATGTCGAGTACCTGTAACCGGCTCGATGCCGTTGGTATTGATGGTTTTTTCGAAAAAGGCCAGACCGCTCTCTTCGGTTTTGAAAGTGTGCCTTCCGACGTATATGAATCGATGGAGAAACGTTTTTCTACCAGCCAGTCTCAAATTTTCCATGACGATATCGAACATGGTTTTCCTGATCGGCTCCTCGATGCCGAGATGTTTCGCCTCTTTCCTATCATACTTTTTACGAATCTTTCGGTTCATTAAAAAAATAGAAAAAAATGGACAAAACAAAAATCACACAAAATACTAAATGTAATGACAATAAGTTGTCATAATTGCATATTGTAGTTGCTTGGATATTGGCCTAAATTAAATGGGTAAGTGCAAATTTGTTTGCAATATGGTCAATTGTATGAATTAAGCAAATATTGTTAAAATAACATTGGTAAGAGTAAGAAAGTTTCAATATCACATTATTATACTCTTTCTTTTTCCTTTATATATATGAGTCTATTGAACATTATCTTTGTTTCACCCATGGACCATATTTGTGTACAAATTTGCACTTACCTGTATAGTCAATTTTTGTTAATTAGAAACATAAAATTTAATTAAACATTAATAGCTATACTTGTGAACTAAATTGTCTACATTAAGAGCTCGCTAAAATACAATATGTTCAATAATTGCTTTTAAAATTAATCTTCCTTTGGGCTAATTAACACGAAATAAACCTTTTTCTGGCAAACGTTTGAAAATTTTTGAAATTATTTATATTATTATTTGAAGCGTTTTGAAGAATTCTTTGTGTATAACAAGCGCCAACAAAGCCCTTCCGATCCTGCCGGTGGAGTTCACATAATTGAAAAACAAACAGGGCGGTTAACTTTAAATAAACCGATTAAGGGCTCTTGTTTAAACACCCTTAGCGGAGAGCTCCCTTGCTCTCGCCCCACACCAAATAAGGGCGAATTCGCCCACCCTCGAGTATAATGTTACAAAAGCCACCGTACACCAAATGGTTTTCGGCTTGGATATATAAGGGTGTAAATTGATTTCTGTTAAGAGTATTCAACATCGATAAAATCATCGCATATTTTCTAACGAATCGTGGTAATTACGCAATAAATTCACTAATTTTATGAAACATTTCGCTATATTTACAGCATCTACGATTCGTTGTATTAAAAAAATATCCATAATACAGGATCTGATTTAATCGATCCGACAGGATCCTCTTAAGCCACGATTATCAGCCCGACTTTTCGTACGGGATGTTTGACTACAAGTCAGGTGATTTAATAAAGCAATTCGAAACAGTGTACCACCGCACGGCAACCGAGCGTTATTGAAAGATAAACAAAATTTTCAAATTGCCAAAGTCTTTTGGACCACAGATAGAATTACCGTACACATATTGGAATAAACGAGGGGCACGAAATAAATGTTTATCGTACATTCAATTGGACAATTTGACTTTCATACGCGTAAAATTTGAGCCATAAATTCGACTATTAAAAATGTAATTTAACCGAAGTTAAGTGTAACCGAACTTTAAACCGGTTTATGACGAACTATTGTAAATTGTATTTTAAGATGCGTTTGATGATACATAAATAAAAACCTGTCGGAATTGACATTAATGACAGTTCGTATGACAGAAGTTTAATAGAAGTGGGAATCGATTTTTTGGTATAAAGGTGCAGTAACGACTGTTATAAAATAAGCGTTATTTATCAAATATTGCTCTCCTGACTACTCCTTCTATTCTACTTTAATTTACTCCATTTACCACCGGCAGTATTGATTTTAACAATTTATTTACGCCGAATTACCCAAATTTACACGATCGTTCTGCGACCGCTTGGGTGGTTAATTAATCCAAGTATGCTGTGTAAACGTAGGCAATGACTAGGTGACTAGATCGCGAGCGCGGGTCCTTTCGGACCACCCAATCGCAATATCACAACATTACCATTGTTACCTTACAATAAATTACGTTAATTGTCGACAGCTCGCAGCAACGAGGCAACGACGATAACATCTTAATTGCGGTGCGCTCTTGCTTCGAAACTCTTCGCATTTTTAAATACGAGGGCTTCATAGTGTGTGTGTGTTACGTTTAATCAGACACACATACATATAAATCCGCCAACTGAGCTTTGGTGCTTGAAGTGCAAACTTTTGTGTATACCTATTCCAATTCTATACCAACAATGGTTCGAAGAATACCACCAGATTCTCACGAAAATCGACTATATTTCATCTTGAATGCACAAAAAAATCGACCTTTCGACAGGTTAGTGTGCGGATAAAAATTTTAAGGTAAATTTAGCCCATTCACGAATCTTAAATGAAAATCGCCTATTGAGAAGTATAGATAATTTTATGGGTTTCTTTCGACTAGTCGAATCGAAATGCTAAATGGCGCTGATAATTTTTCATAAATTCTCCCACGAGAAAATTATTCCAAATAATATATGGTGAGTGAATATACCATCAGTAAAATGACCCAGGTACAATCAGGCACTTATTCTTGATTAGTAAAAGAAATGGAAAGGAATATTCAGAAAGTTTGCATTAATTATTTGATATACGACGAATATTGTTCATAACTTTAAGCTCGATAATACATCAAATACTACATATTGCTTGCTAATGAAGCGCTCCCATCCAACCTCATCGAGTTAAACCGGTGTAAACGTATGGCAACTCATTAGCTGACTTATTGAAAAGTACAATTCCGATCGATCGTTCGATGATGAAATTCAATCGTACAGCATTGACAAGGGGGTGCCTCGGCATCCCAGACATCCGCCGTCTTGCCCAGCGAGTCATTTATTACCGCTAACATGATGGGATATTTGTTATATGAGGTTTGAGCGGTCGGTGCGTGCGTTAAAAATACCGAAGACGATGCCCGTGTTCGGTTTTTTTTTTCTTTCGTTCTTTCGGACGTCGCGCTCGCTATTCCAGACAATTTGCCTAACGTGGAACGATACAATTCGAATCTTTTACATGACAAAAAAAACGACCGGCGAAATGGGATAAATCAAGCGCATGCTTGATGAGTTGGTTCTCGGTAAATAGGTTTTTATTCAGTATTTGCGGAATTTTTAGTGATTCTCGCTGGTAATCGGTTGGTATTTCTGAACGATTACAAAGGGTACTTATAGGTTCTTCGCAATGAAAATAAAATTTTATAGCGAATTACCCACAATGCACGTTAAATATAAAACGCGAAAATAGTTTAAAGTATACTAAAACCAATCTACAAAACTAATTAAATGGAGAACATCAGCGAATGTATAAAATTCGGGTGCTCCGGTCTCCCCCAGGAGGCGGCCATCAGAAGCGGAGAGTCGATAATAAGCAGAAAAGGAGTTGTTAATAGTTTTTTAAGTAAATTACTGGCAGCCATACATTAAGAGCCGCTTTGTTTTTATAGTTATTATCTTGTTTCCATTATTGGATCGGGTGAGTTACTCGAATCGCAGTAGAGCCTGATGGGATCGATGGTCGTTCCGATGCCTTACCGGGACCGGTGATAGGTGAGTTTTAAGTCGATCGTCGGCAGCGGATCGATTGCACTTGCTCGATTAAATACGGATTTTTCCCACTCGAATATCACCGACATTATTTTAATATTTTAAAGCTAAAAAGATTCTACTACAAACTCTTATATTATATGTATTATTACGATGATTCATTAGTTGTATAGATTATAGTATTGTTGATAGGAGATGTTGATTATAGTGAATGAATAAGTGCAATTGATTTTAGTCTCTGCCGGTTCGGATTTCTGATTACTTCACCGATCAATTAAACATTCTTCGGAATAGAGAGAAGAGAAACGTTCATTACACTTTTAAAATAAATTGCGAAATTAGTCTAAACGCCATTTTTGAAGCCATCAACAGCGACAAATTAAGAGAGTAGAATATCGTTAGATAAATCGTTCTTTTAATTATACCCGCAGATATAAATTCCTCGGAGAATCGATTTTTTCGAACGCCTATTAATAACATCCCAGAAATACTTATTTATTTATACCAACCGTTTTTTTGTGTTAAGTATTAATTACCCATACTTGAATTAGCGGTGCACCGGAATTCCGCACCAAAATTGTAATCCCTAAATATTCTCTAAGTACATCAGAGACTATCGATATTACATATCAAAATGGGCTCTATAATTATAGTTATAGTAGTAAAAATAATTTTGTGTACGCAATAAAATTTTTATCTAATCTGGAAGTGTTAAGAAGGAAAACAAACATGGTAAACATTGTAAAAACATCTCGCACGGTAAACATCTAATTATGCAAACGGCGGCGCTAATTCGAACTCCCAACCGTTCCATTATTAATTTCGTTAGCTCTAACGAGTGACTCGCTCCATAAATTGGAAATAATTGACGCTAAATAATCACGACGAATTAGCATCTTTCGCCGATCAAATTTGTTGACCATTTGCCCATTGGATGTTCCTCGCTGTTGAATGGTATTATTGGTATTGGTATTGGCGTTAATTGACTCGACTCTGGTCGACGAGCGAACCACAAATCAGTCCTCTAATTTTCTATGTGGTTAACCGGTTTTCGTCGAGCCGATGCGTTCCTTCTGCTGTAGATATACATTTTTGCAACGGTGCAACTTCATTCTCTTCTACTTCATCCATGTTGTTGTTAATTACAAAGTTTACTCCTTTCTATAGCAAATTTACACTTGAAGTAGAAGAGGACCATTGAAGGGTTCCAGAAGGCTTCAAAGAATGTTATTTTGGTATCCAGGATCCTTACTTGAATGATTTATTTAGGTACTGAAAAAGGATGCTGAAAAGAATTTTCCGTAGAATTCTACATGATGATGAGTTGATAATTAAGATGAAGATTGAAGATACGTAATTAATTTCTTCAAATTTCAATAACAAAATTTATTTAATTACTAGAAATTTTTTCTGGTTTACTTAGTTAATAATAAAAACTGAATAAAAAACTAATAATGATAATATAAAAGTTGTAAAGATAGTAATTCGTAATTGATAAAGTGTCGCTCTCTGTGAGTAACATTCAAAACTAAGACTGAACATAGATACAGATTTCTCTAACTTTTACCGGATTATAAAGCACCATCTTTCGATGAATGCCCGCACTGGTAATAAAACCTGCAGTTTCTACAATTTTCACCATACTTAGTCCTACAGAAAGTATGTTAAAAAAGCACTAGATGGGTAAAAAATCTCTATTTTTTCTATACTTTTG